CTCAACATTCCCAAGCTCCATGACTTCTGATTCATGGGCCAGCCTTGCCTTACCAGGTTTCCATGCCAGAAGCAGAGCTTTCCAATGTTAAAAGAGACCGACTTTATACAGCTTGTGTTAAGGACTGGCTAATAACCTCACTTAGGTATTTCACACCTTGGAGAGAAAAGTGAAACTTTCATTACCTTAATTTTTTTAAGAAATAAAGTTGATCATATAGTAATGATTTATGACTAATGACTAATTTATAGATCCTGGTTTATCTTGCTCTGTATAGATGATAGCAATTCATAGAGTGAAGTGTATGCAATACTGCTATTAAGCAGCAAGCAGTCCCTGAGCAGCAACATGGGGTAGGTGCTAGGTTGGTTTGCCACACTTCTATAGATTCAAGTGATAAGGAGACAATTAATCCAAATGGATTTATAGTTTATTACTTACACAGTCAGCATAAGGAAGGCAACCATGGCCTCAAATCCCCAGGTCCCTAGAAGGGCCAGGATTTGGATGAGACAAGTGATGTGCCTAGGGCCCAAAATTTAAGAAGGTACTCACTCTCAGGATCATGCAAGTTCAAGGTTAGCTCTTGTATGATCCTCAGAATGAGTGGCTCCTTAAATTTTGCACCTCGTTTCTTCACTCTAATTGTAGCCCTGGTCCCCATTCCTACTGGACAACACTGAACTAGATGGGCCAGATGACGAGCAAAAAGAGCAGTGGGCTGCTCCATCAGTGAGGACCCAATTCCATATTGCACCTGAGTGGTTTTGTAGCCTGCAGATGGACCTGGGCTGGGAGGTATGAAGTGGAAAGTCACACACCTCACTAGTGACAGGGGGTCAAATGAGAGACAGCCATGTGAAAGCTGCTCCCAAGCCTGCTTATCTGGCCATGTTCTGGGAGGCTCACAGAATATTCCACCAAGACAGGCTAGCCATGGTTTAGCCTTGCCTATATGGCCAACGTGAACATGTGCAAGGTCACCAGGGTATCAGGGTGAAGCTCTTCTCCTAGTACTGGTATTAAAGAAACACAGGTTTGGATTCCTACTGTTTTCTAACACCACTTCTTAATAGCTGTATGGTCCTGTGTAAGTTATATAAACTATCCAAACTCTTAAGAGAAAAAAAAAGCTAACATGTAAGGCTGTTATAGGGTTAATGTATATAAAGCATTTAAAGAGGGCCTGGCATATAGTAAATGTTTGGTAAGTAATAGCTGTTTTATTAGCTAGTAGATCTAAATGCTGGCCTATACATGGTTACAATATAGTTAAATAAATACTGTAGCCTAAAACTTTGTTTTGAATGTTTTATCTAAGAAATTAATGTTTTTATTATTTGATGTCCCCTTTTGTAGGAATCTATATAAAAGACATTTAAGTAACAAAACAGACACATTTGTCAAAGATTTCACTTATATTTTATAGATAAAGTATTGAAACAACCACCAGAAAGATTGACCCACTTTTAGTTATCCTTTAAGAGCTACATAAGGCATCTTTTCAGAGTTCCTTAAAGGATTTATTTATTGTACTTACTAATATTACAACATAATAATGCACATTTATGTTCATTATTCACACCTGAAAAAATTCTTTTTGTGTCAAGTGATAAGCCATGTTTAAATTGGACCTCCGTCCAAGTAGGGCACTCTTTTTCAACTTACACTCAAAATAGAACATGAGCTCTAAATGTTTTACAATTGAGTGAATAAAGGGGATAAGGATGTACATCTGTACACTCTTGAGAGCCATGAATTCATAATTCACTTTTAATTCAACATGTTCAAAACCACAAATATTAGTGCTTTTTCTCATTC